TAGAATTTATTTGTTTTTTCTAGAATGATGATCTTCCCCAAAAACTGCAATACCATTTATAGCAAAATTCCTGACTGAATTAATGTCAATAAGATAAATCTATATGTGCGGATTTTTTTATGGTAACCCCCTTTTTTTCTGTGTGACAAAAGTTTTTTATTTATGAATTTTGATACTATATATAAAAATTACACATTTTATTATGTTTCTTGCAAATTTCGGAAACTTTAAGCTCTTATTTCTTGTGCAAAACTTGTCCGCCTGCAAAAAAATTAAATTCGATTGAAAACCATCTGTAGAATACTCATACAGAGAGAATATTTTAATTTTCTATATTTTTTTTAAAGTTGTAATAGAGCAAAAGGTACTGCAATAAAGGAAATTTCGAATGGATATTTTACAATATTGAACCTTTTAAAACACAAATAACTCTCTGAGTTATTAAAATACTATTTATTTACTATCTTTTCATACATGCTTGATACCTATATCGTTGAAATTGGGGAAGAAATAACAATTTGAAAATTGCACATTTTATTATGTTCATTGCAAATTTCGGAAACTTTAAGCTCTTATTTCTTGTGCAAAATTTGTCCGCTTGCAAAAAAATTAAGTTGTTTCAATTGAAAACCATCTGTAGAATACTCATACAGAGAGAATATTTTAATTTTCTATATTTTTTTTAAAAGTTGTAATAGAGCAAAAGGTACTGCAATAAAGGAGATTTCAAATGGATATTTTACAATATTGACCTTTTAAAACACAAATAACTCTCTGAGTTATTAAAATACTATTTATTTACTATCTTTTCATACAAATTTGATACCTATATCGTTGAAATTGGGGAAGAAATAACAATTTGAAAACTGCACATTTTATTATGTTTCTTGCAAATTTCGGAAATTATATATGTGGTATGCAGATCATTAAAAAAAATTTACATATACCAATCAATATATGACATTAATTAGTTTTGATTTTCTTAGAATGTCACACACCCCATTAAACGGTCAATATTCAATAAATAGAACTTATTCACAGATATTGCATTGTTATTGGTGGATCTAGGAATGATCTGCCCAAAATAATAATTTTTTCTCCAGTTGTATAACTTTTAAAGAAGGTTTTACGAAAACTACAAGGACAATGGCCGAATTTTTTTTATAGGTCTATGGGCTGAATCTCAACGATTATTTTCACATTAGGAAGTGATACCCTCAGAAAAGTTTTGCGCGCATAAATAAATTCGCGGCCGTATATGACCGCGTGACCATTGAAGGGATAAATATTATAAATTGTAAATATTTAATTGTATTAAATAAAATTATAATTATTAAATAAATTCGTTCATGCATTCTCACCATAGATTAATAACACCATTATAACCAACTCATGTTGTAGAATAACATAGCGGGCTTTCCCTGTGATTGGCTTATTTCATTTTGTGTAAAATGACGATCATTACCAAAATAAATTTTTTT